GAGGGGGGGGGGGGGGGGGGGCGGGCGGCCGGGCCCCCCCGAGGGGGCTCTGCGGCGGTGGCGGGGTGGTGTTGGGGGCCCGCGCCCGGCGCTCATGCGGCTCTCCCGCAGTTCAAACACATTTCGCAAGCCTACGAGGTGCTGTCGGACCCGAAGAAGCGTGAGCTCTATGACAAGGGCGGCGAGCAGGCCATCAAGGAGGGCGGCTCCGGCGGAGGCTTCGGCTCGCCCATGGACATCTTCGATATGTTCTTCGGCGGCGGCAGCAGGATGCAGAGGGAGAGGCGAGGTAACGCGCCCTCCCCGCGTGCTCTCACAAGCCTCATGGTCTGTTTCCTGTGCTAGAAGCCTCACAAGTGTGTGCTCACTGTGTAATCACATAGATAATGTCAAAATAAACCTACTTCTGAAAGTCGGGGCAAGCAAACTCTCATGGCAGGAACGGGCAGGGAGAGGTTCCTCAGTTCATACTGCAGTAGCTCAGTCTGTTTTGCCTCGTGTCATGTTAATATCTAACCAGGTCTCAGGTCGGGCAAACCTTTATCTAAGTGTAAGCCCAGCCCTGAATAACCAGGAGTCCAGATGGTAGTGTGTCTTGAAGTACTTTGCAACTAAGTTACCAGAGTTGCAGCTTTGCAAATGAGAATGTTTATGGGATTTATAGGTGAAGAGTAGCAAAACAGGCAAAGGTGTGTCACTGTGAAGGCTGCTGGTGTCAGTTCTCTGGAGGAAAATTTTTTTGTTTCAAGATGTCACTTTTCTTTTTTATCTTGGTGTTAAGAAATTCCTGGTAAGCCAGAACGTCTTATACTTTATGGAACTATAGTAGGTGCATCTCTAGTTTATTGCTGATTGTGGAATTTGTTAGTTCAATTTCCAGAAATCCCTTTGCTAGAGGAGAGTACTGCTTTGCTGTGTGTAAACAATGTCTCCTCTTTTCTTGTAGTTGAACAAATTGCTATATTCAATCTCTTTAAACAAAATTAAGAGCTTGCATTTAATGAGTTTCTGTTTTGGTTCTGTTATTGCTTGCACTTCATAGGAACATCTTCTAATTTAAGTTTGTAAAGATTTGCTTTAATGTAATTGGAGTATAGGCATGGGATATTCTGCCTTGTTTTAAGACTAAACTTTCAAATGTGAGTAAATGCAGTTTTTCTTTTACAGGAAAAAATGTTGTTCATCAGTTGTCAGTAAGCTTAGAAGACATGTACAATGGTGCTACAAGAAAACTAGCCTTGCAAAAGAATGTGATCTGTGACAAATGTGAAGGTAACTAACACTGATGCTAAACCTTGGCTACTTCTGAAGCTATTTTTTTTCCTGTTTGCTTTCTTCTGGCAATGCATGGCAGTGTACCTCAGTCCCTGCTCTCCCCAGGTCGCGGTGGTAAGAAGGGCGCAGTGGAGTGCTGTCCCAACTGCAGAGGCACGGGCATGCAGATCAGAATTCACCAGATTGGGCCTGGAATGGTGCAGCAAATCCAGTCCGTGTGCATGGAGTGTCAAGGGCATGGAGAGCGCATCAGCCCCAAGGACCGGTGTAAGAGCTGCAACGGCAGGAAAATCATCAGAGAGAAGAAAATACTAGAAGTGCACATTGACAAAGGTGAGAGCTTTGTTACTGCAAGTTGCAGCACTAAAACAGGGCCTTTAGTAAATGCGTAGTATAGATTTATGGTAAGTAACTTTACTGATTACAAATTAAGAAAAGTAGCCTGTTGCTCCCTTTAAAAAGTGGGAGACTTATTTTTAGGGAAGGATGTTTATTTCTGTATTAATCTGTATTATGTTGAGCAGTGGCTTGTTTTGTGTAGTACAGCTTTGTAAGCAAAAACCTTCATCAGTTAACTAGGCTTATCAGATAAATGACAAATACAGTGTTTGTTGGTTCAGCTTGCCTAAACTTTCGTTAGCTTTCTAGGAAACCCTGCAGACTCCGATCACTTCTACTGTGATTCAGTGTGAAGGGGAACCAGGTCTGCTATAGTAAAAGGGTGCAAAAACAGTGCTAAGCCCACAGTGCTTGGAACTGAGCTTGCTGTGCAACCCTGACAGTGCTGCTTGGTGCAAGTGTTCTCTGAAAATGTAATTCAAGATGCAAACCCTCACAGTTGTGGGGTAATGTGAACTGTCAAATGTCAAATGCATCTCTTCCCAGTAGGCTGCTCGAAAGTTGGTGGGAGAAGTCTCTGGAATGGCGGGACTTCTAAGACATGCACATGGCTTGCTCAGGTTTATACCTGATTATCATCTGTGTTTTGCTTGTTTGTGTAAGCACATCTATATTTTGTGTGCATTTTTGCTTTGTTTCCTTCTCGGAAGGAAAAATCCTACAATGTTTTGCAGTACAATAGTAATAAATTGTGGTCACTTAAAACATGGAAATAGTGAAAAAAATCTTTTCCATTGTAGAAAACTAGATTTTACAAGCTAGCATGAGGCAGCTGGAATTTATGATGCAGTGATTTTCCTGTAGGTAAAATGTTCTTGAGTGATAACTCTCCTAGGAAGAGTGCTTCCTACCCTTTGCAGACAGAGATCTTTTTTCATAAGTAGGATACTTAAAACTTAGGAAGCTGGTTGTTTATTCTCAAAGCAAGCGTTCTGTGCAGTGTTGTTTTTTTGTCTCCTTTGTAGTTCTTGTGTATGTAATGGAGGCTGTTTTGATAATGTTTCTCTCAAGGATTTCATCTTGGCAGGTGGCTGTTTTGAACTGCAATTAAGCTTAATGGTCATGTGATTTAGCTCAGGTTGGCAGTGCTAATATTTTGGTCATGTGAGTTTACAAAAACATGTAATGTTACAAAGGAAGGTCCTGATGTTCCAGTTTTGAGATCTAGTGACAGCCTGTATTTATTAAAATAGTTCATGTTGTTGTTTTGATTTTAAAAGGCTAATATACTTTTTTTTTTTTTCCTGCAATAGGAATGAAGGATGGTCAGAAAATAACATTCCATGGTGAAGGGGACCAAGAGCCAGGACTAGAGCCAGGGGATATAATTATTGTCTTGGATCAGAAAGATCACCCAACGTTTAGAAGGTAAAAACCACAAGTCTCTTGTATTTACTTCTGAGATGCTTGCCTGGAAGTGTCCAGAAGCTTCCTTGGTGACTAACTTTTTAGTCACTGGAGACTTCAGCAGTTAGGATGATATAGCTAGAGTTCATCTGTGAGTTTTTGTTGGTCAAAAGAATATTGCACCAGTGTGCCTGCACAAGTCAACTTACCAAATCCGAGAGCAGAAACCACCTTTGTGAGGCTTTGTGGTAGAATGAGGTGGGAGGAAAATAGAAAACATTTAATTACTGAGTTTACAAGCCTTGAATTTTAATGATTCCTAAGCGTTTTTTAATAGCTGTGAATATCTGCAAGAGTTGTTGTCATCAAGATTTCTTAATCTTTGTAAGATGGCTTTCCATCATGTAACTCGGAAAACTATCTTTCAGTATAGATAGCTGGTTAGTGCTCATCTTCCAGTGCTTAGCTTTTCCTCAGGGATGCTGTTTATGGCAAATCTCTGCATATAGCCCCCTTCTGAGGAGTCAGGTTGGTCTACCTGCTGGCAAAGGTAGTTCTCCCTATTCATTCATTACCTAAGTGAACTGGGGAGGATAGCCAGTTTAGTGTGCTGTTTTTTTGTGAAAACAAGAATTCTCCCAAGGAGAATCATCCATGTTTCAAGCATGATGGTGCAAAATTGTTTCAAGTTACGGTCTGTGGAATTAGTTAATACAGTGGGTTTTTTCTGACAAAGACACTGGTTACTTTAAAAGTTTCTTGTGTGGCAGGTGCTTGGTATTTTAGTGTTTCTCTTTGGAGCAGTGACAAGGTCAATTGATTTGTGAAGGTGCTTGTGTCTTTAGGGTTGGGAGGAGAGCACATCTGTCAACAGCTGACTCCCTTTAGTTGTCCTGTTAAGTACAGATGAGGAATCAAAAGTTATTATGAAACGTGTATCTCCTCTGAATGACTTTTCTGCACAGTGCTGAGCTCTGAAACACTGAGGTTAAAGAGTCAGTTCTGACCACTGATGATGGTTTTAGTGAACTGGTTTTCCTAACTGCATTAAACCAGATGCTGAATCAGATGTGTCAGGGGGCTGTTCCATGCCACACTTGTGCATGGTGCCTTATGGGACTTGAGCTTGTCTGTTGCTGTCTCCCTGCCCACTGCTGTTGGTTCCAGCGTCTTTAGGTTTCCCTTGGTATTTTTGGTCTTACAGGGTTATGCTGAAGTCATGCTGCTTCTGGGACAGATGGAATGTTAATCCTCTCCCTTCAATCTAATATTATCTTGCCAGGCAAGTCTCCTTCCAGAGACCTTTAAAATAGGGTGCGTGAGGTAGCCTAGACCCTTTTTAAGAGACTTGAAGTTTTGTTGGCCCTTGAACACATAAAGATATCATTTGCACAGTCATACTGAAGTTAGAATAGGCAATTATAGTGATTGCATTTACTGTTCTAGATATTTCTTGGTGTTATCCCGAAGATAGTTGCATAACCCATCACTTTGTGTTGCCACCACCTATTTAATCTTTCCTGGGAGGTGAATTTTAAGTGGGAAGGAGCAATGAAATGGAACAATATAATTTCATTTAGTAACTTTAATATTTTCTTTGCTTTGAATAGGTGGTTTTGCACAGTAATGGCTCTCGTGTGGTATTATTTCTGTAATTGTAGACTTTTGGTGCTACATCAGTGTTTGATATTCTCTAACTGATCGTGATACTTAGTGGTAATGTCATCCTTATTTATTCTTGGGCATGGTCCTTTCTTTCACTGCTTCCCCTTGACTTTCTATTTGGTTCACTCAGACAAGATGAAGATCTTCTGTTGTCTATGGATCTACAACTCGTTGAAGCACTATGTGGCTTTCAAAAACCTATCACAACACTGGATAACAGGACTATAATCATTACATCCCATCCTGGTAAGTGTTGGCTTGTTTTCTGTCAAATGCCTCTGCATCCAGCAATTGTGGTCTGGAAAGTAAACAGCATATTTAAGGGGAACAAAAGCAACTCACCAACTTTGCATAAGAGATGTGCTGGTGCCAAGTATTTTTTCTAGTATTTTGCAGTACAGATTTTTAACAAATAAGGATTTTTTTGGATAGTTGTCAGCACTAGCTAACTGTTTTTTTGCATGATATAGTAACAACCTTACCTCATGGACATACTTATATCCTGAGGATACCTCATGAGAATTGAAGGTCTCTGAAAACTACTTTTTCAGCCTTGGAACTGATGGAGCACTTGACATATTTGTAAGTATGCTTCCCTCGGGAAGCATAATGAGGTTAAAAATGTAATGTAGATATCAGCCTGGTCTCCTACTCAGAAGTTGACAGGCAGCGTGTCCTTGATAGACTGTTACCAGTGTAGCTGTCTAAACACACTGTAAAAGGCTACCTAAATACATGCTGGAGGAGTTAATGTTAAAACTGCTTGTGTTCCCTGTGTGAATCCTTTCCTTTCTTGCCTTTGACTCTTTCCTTCAGGCCAGGTTGTCAAGCAGGGTGATGTTAGGTATGTGTTGAACGAAGGTATGCCGATTTATCGCAGACCCTATGAAAACGGACGACTCTTCATAGACTTCAGGGTAAGTGGGTTAACTTACTAGTTGTGGTGTTCCCTATCACTGAACATCCCCCACACATCTGATAGCAGTCAGATGGAATCTAGCAACAGGGTTATAGGCTACACCAAAGCGAGAGGCTTCCAAACAACCCTGTGGTGAAAATAAAGTACCAGGGGAATTTCTTTGTACACATTGTGAATTTCCATTTACTTTGATGTGTTCATTTCTAGGGGAAGTTAACTTTTTTTGCGGGCATGAAAGAGTGACACATTGATGTAAAACCCAATGCTGAAGAAAAATCATTAAGTAATGTGTGAAAAAGCTGACTTAGGTTTCATGTCCTTTTTTTCTCCCCAATCTGTAGTGGGATGGAGAAAAGTCAGTTCTGGCAAATGTGAGTTAACTGCAGCTCTTGATTATTTCAGGTGATCTTTCCAGAGAGTGGCTTCCTCTCCTTGGATAAGCTGTCTTTACTGGAAAAGCTGCTACCATCAAGGCAGGAGATAGAAGAAACTGAGGAAATGGAGCAGGTGGATTTAGTGGACTTTGATCCATCCCAAAAAAGGAAACACCACTATAATGGAGAAGCCTATGAAGATGATGAGCATCACCCTAGAGGTGGTGTTCAATGTCAGACATCGTAAAAGAGCCAGTGAATAACTTGTGATGCTTGTTTTGTATGCATTAGTGGATGAGTGAAGGACTACAAGCAGTTAACCGTCACTTTCTGCTACTTGTTGTTTATTCAGCCATAGTTGTTTCTTAAAGCATAAAGAAATAAACTAAGTAATTAAACTGACTTTGCAATTTGTATGAAGCTCCAGGAGGCAAACTCAGATGAAGTTGAATTGCACTTCACCCCTGCCTGTTGTTAAAGAAAACTCCCCTGCTTGTCTTTATTTCAAGCCTAATAATTCCTGTACGTGTGCAATTGCCCAGGCTTAGACTAAGATTTTTGTGTTCCTTTTGGTATTCTAGATCTTATACTCTGTTAATGAAGTATGCACAAGTACTTATGGTAAGATGTAGTTAAAATTTTGTACTAATTAGAATAACTTGTTACTGTTCTGGGCTTTTACTGGTGTTTATCAAGTGAGGCCTGCCTCCAGCGCAGCCACATCGTGTGTGAACCTGAGAAGGATGTGGTCAGTCTCACAGGCCTCTCAAAGTCATGCAGTTCACCAGCTGTCTCAAGTTACTGCACTTAAGGTTAAACAGTCCCTTGGTGGCCATCCTCGGTCCTGGTCCCGGAGCTAGATGTGAAGCCCTGTTTCGACACTGACTGGTCTGGGGTTGCTCCTCTGGCTGCTTGGCTGCTGTGAGACCTTCTTTCCCCATGATGCAGGATTAAAAACCTCCAGGGCTTATTGACTCAGTGCTGCTGTTTGGACCCTCTGTTTTCTGAAATTACATATCCTTAAGTGGTATGGAAATGAAAGCAGCAGCATCCCTGCTGCTGGGAGAACATGAGCCTGCAGAGGAGAGAGCTGTAGATGTCAGTGAATGCAAGCAACTAATGCATCTAGCTTGTTTTTAAATTCATGTATTGTGCATTATTTTAAGCTGACTCTTGGAAAATTCTGTATGAATGTTCTAGTTATTGTAGATGAAACATTGCCAAAATAATTATAAAATTGTTGATTGTGTATTTTCTTAGACCAGCTGTTTTAAAGAAGCCAGCCTCTGAACTTGCATTTTAGACTGATAGTGACAGACCAATCCCCTCAAAAATGCTCTTTCATTAAAAAATGCTGATGAGACATGTCCAAATTTAACCACCAGTGTGGTTGTGTGGTCTTGTGAATTTTGAGATGTCTTGGGCTGCAGTGTGTGCTTGTATTGCTCTAAGGCAGAAGTGGTAAAACTGTTCAGTTTTCCTTGTTGGAACTGGCTAGCACATGGAGTGTCTGTCCCCTAATTTAAATCTCTACAGCTGGGAGAATTCAGCCTAGAAAGCATCTTTTTGGGCAGGCTTGTTCAGCCAGCCCTTGTTGTGAATGGTACAGGCTTCATTTTGTGGAGACAGCTCTTAAAATGTCTCTGGTTTCAAATGGCCTTCAGCTGAGAGATGGCTGCAATTCACCTGCCTCTTCTCACATACTTTGTCATAGCAGAAGTTACATTCTGTAGGCCAGGCCCCATTCCAGATTGGAGCTTGTTAGCCAGCTTTACACATGTGAATAGCAGGAGCCTTTGCTCCATCAGCCCTTCAAGGGAAGGATGCCCTTACAAGGCCCTCAGCTTTTTCAGAAGTGTCATCTTAAAGCCCAGTAACCACCCTGATACAGAACTGCTGTCTGCCTGTCATTAAGGTAACAGAAAAATCAAACTGGGACATGACATGGTCAAAGCAGCTAGTGCCAGCCAGGCTCCATGCAGGGCCTCAAGGTTCCCTGCTAGGTGCTATCATGTCACAGATAGCTGTCCACCAGAGCAGAACCCATTCAAGCCTGTTTTCCTTCCACTCAACCTGTGGCTGGCTCACTGCAGGTGGGTAACACACTTCTCTCTGCCTTTGGAAACCACAGGATCGCACAACAGCTGAAGGTGGAAGGGACCTTTAAAGATCGTCTAGTCCAACCCCCCTCCTCAAGCAAGGTCACTCAAAGCAAGCTGAGCATGACCATGTCTAGGTGGCTTCTGAGTATCCCCAAGGAAGGAACTCAGCAACCAACCTCTCTGGGCAACCTCTTCCAGTGCTGTCACCCTTGCAGTCAAAAAGGTTTCTCCTTAGAATCAACCAGAACTTCCTGTGTTTCGGTTTGTACCCAGTGCCTCTCATCTTGGCACTTGCCCCTGCGCTGAAGAGTCTGGCCCAACCCTCTCTTTAGTTACTTACCACATTGATAAGGCTCCCCTACTCCCTGTCTTGTCTATGCTTATCAGTCCCAGCTCCCATCTTTTCCCTGTAGGCGAGACACTCCAGTCCCTTAGTCACCTTTGTGGCCCTTTGCCGGACTCACTCCCGCAGCTCCAGCTATCTCTTGCAGTGAGGAGCCCAGCACTGGACACAGTTCTCCAGTTGTGGCCTCCTATCGCCTCACACACATCTCAGTGGATCTTGGGACACCACTGGCCCTCTGCTCTAAGAAATGCTCCTCCCAGCTTCCTATCGTGAGGAAACTCTCTGGGGGTTCACTCTGCCCCTATATCCACATCACTGATGAATAACTGACCAGGATCAGAGCCAGTATTGACCTCATTCCAGACCTCCAGCTCCGCTTTGTGGCACTGAGCGCTGCCGTTCAGCCAGTTCCCATCCACCTCACAGGCTGCTCATCTCACCCTGCTTCATCAACTTGCTTAGGAGGATGTTGTAGGAGACAGTGCCCTACACTGACCCACATGGCTGTCCCCTCATAAAAGGCTACCAAACTGACTAAACATGATTCCCCCTTTCATGTTCTTGCCATTCATGGGCTTGGAAATGGTGTCTAGGATGAGCTGCTCCATCACCACTCCAAGGAGGGAGGTGAGGCTGAGGAGCCTCCTTCCTGCCCTTTGAAGACTGCCATGACATTTGCTTTCTCCCTTGCCTCAGGAAGATCATGACCTTCCAGAGATGGTTGCAAGTGGCCTTACATGAGCCAGCTCCCATTGCTCACTGGCACCTATGGATTTGTCTGTGTTCAGTTTGCTTTGTGGAACACCCTAACTGATCCCTAAAACAGAACATCCCCACGGACGGAAATCATCCATTCTCAAGCCTTTCTGCCTGTTCTCCACAGCCTCGGATTCCTGATGGCTGGTCTGGTCTTACCCTAAAAGTGAAGAATTCAGCCTTCCCTGTGTCTTTGGTAAGCAGTGCTGCAGCCTCGGGTAACAGCAGGCCCGTGTTGCCTCTGCTCTTTCTTCCTTTTGTTAAGGAGACATTTCTAGGGGCCAGCAAGTAAAAACACTCATTACATCACTGTGTACACTGTGATTCTGTTAATCACAGAAAGCTTCTGCTGAGCAGTTATGCCATAACCATCTTAGCTATCTTTATAGGTAGTACTACTGGAACCAGAACACGTGTAGCTGATTTTTCAGCACCTCCTTCCCTGCAAGTCACTGCTAACAGATTCTGTCCATTCTGCTTGCAGGCCAAACCTATGTTCATATTTCTATTACTACTACTGGCTGATTCTTGACTTCCATAAAACACTCCTTTCTTACCTCATGAGAGTTCAGCTGCTTTAAAAAATATTTGCAGCTATTTTCCTTCCCAGGAGGAGTTTCCACAGAAGAGATCCAGTCTTCAGCTGATCTCTCTAACTCTTCTTACAGATCAAGAGTTGATTTAACAGGTCAACATCTTTGAACATTCTTCACAGATGGCAAGCAGGATTTAGCACCAGAGCAGGCCTACACATGATATCTTCTTGGACAAAATAATTGCCCATGAAAAAATAAAAATAAAATAGAAAACAAGTTCTGCCCACACTTATAACACTAGGCAGGAAACAAAGGTTACTTATATTTTGTGGAGATGGCAGCAACTCTTCTACATTCTGCAAGTTCAGACAGATGCTGCTTCCTTAGAGATAGGCTAAAATTCAGCAATCCCCATTGTGGGTAGAGGGGAATTAAATCACTATGTAACATGTGGACCAACCTACAACACCTTCATTACATATTGCTCTACAGACACAGAATTTTGCAGACCTATATGGGTTAAAGAACTAGCTAGAAGAGAAATGATCCACCAATAAAGCAAGGCCAATATGCAAGCATTGAACAGTATTTTCTTTAATGCTAATTACAGCATTAAATATAGATATTCAAATCTTACAGATAAAACAACATGACACCTAGTATATTTTCCAGAGGCAAAATCTCTTCCTAAACTATGTTACAAAAATTTAGACCATTAAGAGTATCATTGTAATTGTGTCAAGTACCAGCTATTTTTTTTTTTTTTTTTTACCAACTGTGGTTGCATTTGAGGAGGTAAAAATCTTTCCACCACATTAGTACATTTCCCTTTTCTATCTCTTGAGTACTTAAGGCAAGACAGACTCCAAAACAGGTAAAAAGGTAAAACATGCCACATTTTTAAGATTGAAATAAATTTTCTAGATTTAAGTACTGAGAATTTTGACAGACTGTTCTATCTGCTATAACTAATTTTGTTTTAAGGAGCAATATGAAGATCTTATTTACACTGAGAAATGCGGAGCTCCATGTAATCTGAAGCAGAAGTGAGCCACACGTTAGATAATACTGAAAATATTTTGTCAAGATCCTCTCCTATATGGAAAGCAGAAACTGCCAACAAAGCATGTGAATTATTTCTGACAAATCAGCATATTTTCCATGTAGAAGAAATAATCACTTTTTGCTATCTAAAAAATAACTTTATTGCCATACCTCAGGAAATAAAATAAAAAACAACTGAAGAACTAAAACATCACAGCTTAAGCAGAACTAAAAACTACAGCCATAGTAAACAAGGAATACTATGTAAGAATTTATGCCAAAAAAAAAAATTCTGCATTTCCTTAGACATGAACAGAGACCAAATATGCATACAGGTGAATGCTGAAAGATGTTAATGTCGGGCATTAGGACCAATTCCATCAGCTGATATGGAATGGTTATTTAAACGGAAATTTATTAACTCACAAAGAAACTATCACTGTGTGAAAGATTACTGTTGCAGGAAAGTATTCTGCAAGAAATGAGGACAGAAAACAGCACGCAGGATTCAAATCCGCATGCATCTATCTAATCTTCACAGGCAAAATGTCGGCTTCAACTGCATCCTGGAAAAAACCATGGATGGATTTTAGAAGGTGCACAATTTTGGTGCACAATTGCTGCACAATTTTCCCTGATAGCCAGGATTGGGATCTCAGACAGAACCATCACCTTCAGCACCAAGGTAAAAGCTTCTTTTATCATAGTACGGGAGCTAAGTATCACTTAGTGTTTCCCTTATTTATAGCCATGGGTATGTGCAACTAAAACCACTTTACAAATATTATTTAAAGCTCTGCTGTCAAGTTCTTTAGGGAGAAGAAGGGATGAGGACAAACTTAAATATCAAGTACAAATGCAAGTGCCTCATCTCAGCACTGGGAACTATGTTAAAATAGGCCTTGCACATTCTAAAATGTTGCTCCTTTGAGGCCAGGTTTTGTCATAAAGCTGTGGCATAAATATACTGTGGAGACATAAATATACTGTGCATTCAGAGGAGGAGGGCTCAGATAATTCTTTTATCACATGGAAGAAAAATTAAAAGAAAAAAAAATTACAGCTCCCGCCACATCAGGCGGATTTTGAGAAGGAAGTGCTGGGTGATGGGAAAGAGGGTGAGGAATGGTTCTACTCAGAGAAAGCTGTATGACACTGCTTGATACGTGTCAGAAGAAGTAAGCAAAAATGACACACAGCAAAACACGCTGGACTAGCCTTAAAGCTTTCCTGCCTTAAAGCTAGTAACAAGTAGGTTCACTTACATCCCCTTCATTTTAGGGAAGGGACAGACTTCTTACTCCACATCATTCACCCAAAAAAAAAAAAACAGCATTCTAGGAAATCAGGGGCCACTTATAAATATGTATTGGTCTAGCTCAATCACTTAATAAACAATGTAAGACCTTCCGGAGTACAGACTACATGAGACTACATGAGACAGATTACATGAGACATTCCCACAGAAGTTGTTTCAGCTACTCAGCTACAAGTATTTGAAATCAATCGCTGGTGTATGTAGCACCAACCTTACTAGTTTTACACCAAGAATTAAAAAAAAAAAAAAATGTTTTCTGGAAACCTGAACTGAAAATTGAGCAAGTATCAAGCTCAGTGGATTTAGACCTCGTAGAAGCACGAACATCAATACCCTGCATACAACAGGCACGCATCACAGCTCACTGAAATGCAAGCTATGGCTTCCAGAGCTTGAGGAGCCCGTCCTCGCTGTAGGTGGCAATGAGGTTCTGGTGGGGGTGATGAGCAATGCCGATGACGTCTTTCTCGTGGACCTAGGGAAGAAGCAGAAAGAAGCACCAGGAGATGCCCCTCTCGGCAGCAATGCAAACCAAGTCATCTTTCCAAACAAAACCCAGATCTCTTCAAACAGGAGGAGAATGAACAAGAAAACAGAACTAAGGTTTAACATGCCTTATGCACACAACAAAGGCAGGGGAAGACAATGCCTCAGTATTAAGCTCTAGTTCCCCTTGCAATTGCTAGTCATGGGGGAGGGCGTGTAATGACCACCTACACTGACTGAAATGCACTACATCTAAGGGTTGCCTATCAAGCTCAGTCATTCCACTGGTTATCTCTCTTCACTTTATTTAATCCAAGGCAAACTGAGAAGAGCCTGGATATGAGTTTCCATCAGCTGGAACACAGGTTAGCATCTGCTCTAGATCAACTAAATTCACCAGTTTTGAGCATATTCACTCAGTGGTCTTGATGGGTAAATGTTCTCTCAACTTTTAAAATTAAGAAGTTTATAAGAAAAACCCATCCCATTCCACAGTTCAGGAACCTGTTTGTAAAATGGCTGCTTGAGATGACAGATGCATGAGCACAGAGCTTCTCCTCACAGGCTCTGCAAACACCACCACCACTTTGGTTGAGCCCGTATTTCTTTGGAGGCAGAAAAGCTCCAGCTAAGGACTTACTGTCAGAGTTCTCTCCAGCTTGCCAGTCACTGTGCTAAAGCAATAGAGCACAAAATCTTCACCAACACAGTAGATCCATTCACCACGGGGAGACAGGGCACAGCAGACAAAGTCACCACCTTCCCTCTTACCAGAGCTGAAGCTTCTCACAATCTGTAAAGACACCCCCACAGAAATAACTTTGCAGAATTAAACTGCTGCCTATCAGTACTATGCTCAAGGTAAAAAAATGCAGATAGTACAAGGTCTGTTTAGAAATATCTCTCTATATCTGTAACTATATACGATAGCTCAAACTGTCTGAAAAAGCTGAGAATTTAGTGGTTTGCCATGAAAGCAAAACAGAGATATAGGACTTAACCCAAAATTAAGTTATGCCAGAAGTCTGGCATTCTTAAAAATGACCAAGGGATAAATCTGAAAGTTACTTGAAAGGCAACATACTTGTCCCTGCATATTCATAATGACAACTGTATTTGATCTGTTGCAAACGACGAAGTGTTCGGGGTTTTTAGGCAGCAGAATGACACTGTTCACAGTAATGTCTGTCCCAGCAGTGCTGCCAAGGGATTTGAAGGTATTTGAGCACTCCGTTGTCTTCACATTCCAAATCTAGCACAAAAAATAAACACGAAAATAATCAGGATTAGAGAAATGGACCGTTTTTCAAGATGAGTGAAGATGCAGGATTAAGTTTTATTTAAGGCTCTAGAAGAGATATATGAATTCTAAATAGGGTAGTTAGAAACAGCGTTTAAAAACATAAAATTATCCCTCTTATTTTGAAGTATACATACCATGAATAATTTCGCTTATGATTAAATCAAATTTGAATTTCTATCACCACAAAGGCAGTCTGGATTGTTTTCACCAAGTCCCTGTTGCTAGGGATAAGTCCAGATTTGCCTTCTGATTTTAGGTAGCATCTGTAAATACCTATGTGGTCATCGCACATGCAGCCTACCCAAATTTAAATGAAAATCTGGTGAAAAAGTAAAGGCCTTACTCATACGAAAAGGAAAGATGTCCAAGCTTAAACCCATTTCAGGCACTAGAGCTGCGGGAGGCTGTTCCAGCAACTCTGAAACAGGAAATGGAACTGCTTGTCTGGTATTTAAAATAAAAGTATAACTAAACATCTGCAGAAGGTTTTTACATATTTCATTCCAGTGCCATCAAAATGATAGATACCATCTTCTTATACTATCCTCACAATCAGTGGCAGCCCAAAGAACAGTGCAAGCATGAAGTCATACAGTTTGAAGGTAGCAAGATCCGCTGCTTTCTCATTTACCTCACCCACAAATTTGGTATATTTACTCACCCCTCATACACTATATCAATGTTGTGCTTAATGTGTCTACTTCTACATTCATCTATTTAGTCAGTAGTAGTCAGGTTAGTCAGTAAATTCTTATTCTATACTCAGTAGATCTATTTTTTTGGCTGAGATTATAAGGAGAAACCATCAGTTTCATTTTGAGTTTTATTAACGTTGGATTGCCCGTTTATACGGCTAGGGCCTCCTAAGCAGCAAGAACAGACAGGCAACAGTGAGCACAAGAACAACTAAACAAACAAGAAACCCTAATAATTCAGACAAGGCAGCCCCTACCTTCTAGGAAAAGGGTCAATTCTACGGAACTGACAGAGGAACAGGCTGGTATTGCTCCTTTTCCTTTTCCACAGCACAAGCAGACTGTGCAGGACTGCTGAAGGAAACCTCACCAGTTCTCATTTAAATCATTCTACATGATTTATGAATATTATGAGATGAGATATTCCGAAGATAACTCCAAGAAATAGTTCTCTAAGTATTGCTATATATGTAACAAACCTTCTAGAACACACAAACACTTTACACACATTATTTACAAAGAGTAGATGCTGTGTTACCTTCACGGTGCCATCAGAGGATGCGCTTATAATATAGTGGCCATCCTGGGTAAAAGTAGCTTCATTGACAAAGGAGGAATGACCACGGAATTCCTTTAAAGTTTTGCCAGACTTTAAGCCATGAATCCTGTAACACAATTGAGGTCACAAGTGAGCAAGGAATGCATGTAGTGTGAACCACCCTGTGGTACACCCAGGTGTACCTGTATTTGAAGGCTGAGTTAAGTTTGAGAACAGGGGCAAGAATATTATATGCTAGAAATTGGTAAAACAGAGTTATTACAAGCCCTCTTTCAAAGACAACATGCATTTCTGTGAAAGGCTTAGAGAAACACCAACACATCACCTTAAAAGACAAGCAATCCATTCTGTACATATTATAAGACAGAATTACAAAAAGGGAAATCATGAAAATGTCAGAGGAAAAAAAAATAATGAAAAGAAGGAGGAGGTCTGGCTTGGAGGAGGTCTGAGACTTCCTGGAGATTTCTACTTCAATAAGTGCCCAGTTCCCCAAAGCACAGCTAACATTTAAGTGAGGTTATCATGCTCAGGGCCTTGTTGACCGGGTTCAGAACATGCACAGATAAAGATTTTCCCTGGGCACCTGCGTCAAGACCGTGATACCCTCATTATGAAAAATTCTCTGCTTGCACAAAACCAGATTTTTTCTTCTTTTATATATATATTTTTTTAATTCCCATTGCCTCCCATCCTTTTGCTGTATGCTTCTTAATTTATTTCAGTCTTAGCTTGCAGTATTTACTGGACACAAGACACAGTTTCCAAAGCGAGGTCTGAAGCCTTGAAAATGACATACCAGAATTCCTCCCTCTATTTGTAGCCTTGATTCAACCAGCCAACCTTCATAATCTCAATGAAAGTTTTTGTTACTGCAATCTAAACACACTAACATCTCCAAATAAAGTGTTTGTGTAATGTAGTCACTGCATAGTTGCTCCCAGATCCAGATACTATCTTCATTTTCATCTAAAGCAGTAAGGTAAGTACCACTGAGTTTTATAGCTAGAGGCTCCTGAATAGTATTTCATAACCACTTTCATTTAAACCTGAAACATACACCATTACTGGGATCCATCTGCTTTGCTGCACAAGCTCCATGTCCTGCAACTTCATGTTGTTTTCATGTTCATGAAACACATGGACAAGCTGAAGCAGTGACTGAGACAGCCAGAAAGCTACCATGAGCCCACACGAATGCATGAGCAAAAGCTGAGGGGGGAAAGGCATGTTCAGCCCAGGAAAGAGAGCTGAGGCGGGTCAAACTGCTTCCGTCCTATCAGTAAAACCAAAAATTTAAATGGTGGTGGTATTATAAATCAGAATAAGCCTAAATAAAAAGAATTTGTAAACTAAAACTAATCTGAGTGGCTTTTAGCTGTGACAAAGTGCTTGTGTAGCAACAACAGAAGAGCTTTGCTGCAATTCAGAACCCAGCAGTGACCAGTTCTGCTTGGGAACAAGAACAGTGCAGAAGATGCCAAAGAGGTTTGGGGTCAGAATTACTACACGAGTGTTGAGAAAGGCCCTCCAGATGCCAAGAGCTCTAAGAGCCCTAGATCAGTTGCTGGTCATCTGCTACCTTGCATCAATACCAAGTTATGCCATTTCAGTGTCTAATTCTAGCTAGATAAATATTTTTTTAAAATGACAATGAACTTTCATTCTTGCTTTCCCTCACTCCATAAGGATCTCCGAAAAGGACAGGTAAGCTTGCCAAAATTTTGATTTCTCACTAGTCATCTGAAAAAAATGTAACAATTTAACACCAGCGCCCAACATGGGCTTAAAGAGCAGATAGCCAGACTCTTCTCAGAAGTGAGCAGTAAAACAACATAGACCACTCTATATGTCCAAGCAAGAACTTCCCTACAAGCTCTATGCCAAGGGGACACAGAGATGTGGTAGAGTCTCCACCTGTAGGGATTTTAAAAACTGAGATGGACTAGGCCCTGAATGAGCCAAGAACTTTGCTGTGTTTCGAGAAGCATATTGGGCTAGACATCCCCAGAGGTCCCTCATGAACTACATTATTTAATAAGTGCATGTCAGGTTTGCCTTAAAGAAGGTCTCATAGTAACCTTTATGGAGAACAGATACAGACTAACTTACCTTTGTGCCTGTCCCACACCAATCCATTCACCATGAAGTGCATTTGTGATACTGTACCAACTGATTATTTGCACCTCAGCTAACTAGCCTGCATTCCAGAGGAACTCTGAAGGACCTAGAAATCATCACTCCTCCTTTCCAGATTCTCAAGACACCAGCTTGTGAGCCTTTCATATCAGGAGTTTGGCTGCCCCAGATGACTGCCACAGCCATTGGGAAATTGAACTGTAAAGACTAAGTTTAAAGAAAATCATAACCCAGCACAGTACTGGTGCTGCCTAGGAGGACTGCATGAAGAAGGAAGCATCATTGCCTGCATGAAGGCTTCAGAGATCTTATACCCGAAAACAGAGCTGTGGGGGCAGCCTACAGGAAAGTGGATTATATGTTGTAGTTTTAAGAAATGTGATTCTTTCTGTCTCTTTCTAATCATTGGAAGAAAATATAACCTGACATGACAGTTGTATAAGCAGTATAGCCACATCCCTTTCATGTAACAGCAATTCCAAAACAATGGTATATGGAGACCACAGGAAAAAAACATATGGAAGGGACTTCAGAAGCCTCAAAGCAAGACTTTCAAGTAGGATAATTTCACTCAGTCTTGTCAATTTAGTTCTGAATTTCCTCAAGTACATCACTAGTATGAAATCTATTTTGGAGAGACACTTAAGACAAAAATAAACATCCTAAAGCAAGGAGAGGGCTATGGAGGCTCTTCCAGATACAGACTGAAATTGTTGCCCTTGCAGCTCCCTGGTGTCGTCCTGGGCTGGATTTCTGGCAGTCCATGTTAGACTGCAGGGTAGGATGGGTGCTCATAAAATATTTCCTTTGGGTTCCTCCTCCCTTTGTTCCTATGCTAAAGGCAGGTTCTGTGTACCCCAGAGACACAAGGGAATGGATCTAGGGGCATGGATTTAAGGACAATATGGGCTCAGGGTGCAACGTGGGGCAAGAACCCTTTTACCACTATGGTAGTTACTGTGAGGTATAAAAAGCTAGCAAGTATTGGTGATCAGGCTGTTCAGTTTGTCTTAAATAATGGCTACCATCTTGCTATCCCTAGATTGTTTTCTTTCTCTCTATTATAAAAATTACTATTTTTAAATGCACAACTCTTTTTCAAGCTAGGAGGCTTCCAGAAAAAAAAAAACAAGAAACAAACAAACAAAACAAACAAAAACAAACACCCTTGGCCAATTTGAACAAGATGCCACAAATGATGTATTTGGGCCTCAGCCTTGAAATAAAGCAAGTGAAAGGTCAAATGTTCCAGCTGATCCTCTGCTAACCTCAAGAGACTCTCCTGTTAAAATAAAACACAGAAGGATCAAATCTGTCCCAAAACAAAACACATCCAGAAGTCAACCGTCCAATACGAAACCTCACTTCTTGTTTCCCTTGCAATATAGTTAACTTCTTCTCCATTTATTCTTACCTGATTGTTTGATCAAAAGAAGCACTAAGAATCTGGCTGCTGTCTTTTGAGAAACTGAGGCAGGTAACACCTTTACTGTGTGCTCGTTCAAATCTTCTCAGACATTGACCACTCTGGATTTTCCACACCTGAAAACAAGGCAGCAAACGACACAGGGATGGTTACTAACTTATGAGAGCACCAACATATAAATATCCAAGCCCATGTGTATCTTAGTTTCTGGATCACACTAAACTTCTTTCCACGTGAGAACACAACGTTACCATGATTGCAAGAGAATCTTTCTGACAACCACCACCTACCCAGTTCCAGAAAAATATTTGTACCTTGATCTTTCCATCCTGTGCTCCAGTTGCTAGCATTTCTGTATCTCTGCTGAAGCACATGCACAACACTGCATCATCCATCATCATAAAGTTATCCTGTGCCTGGTATTTCAGATCCTAAAAAGGAAAACGGAAGATCCACCAGTCACAAGAATGAAGCAGAGTGGATTTTAAGCCAATATGTAACAGCACTAACAGTTTTAATTTCAGCATATGCACTTTAGTGCCCATCCTCAAATAGAATAGGCAGTTTGGTCATTCTGGTCAGACTGCTGCTGCAGATTCATTAGGCCTTGAATGCTGGAACAGGCAGGCTACAGTACCCTGCACAACATCATGTAGCATTTCTGCAATGGAATCCTAGTGCTCATGGCCAAACACACTCCCCAGGGCCTTACAAAAAGGAAAAAATAAGCAAAATCCAACAACAGGAAAATGTTATTGTCATCATTTTAGAGACAGGAATTAGAGACCCACAAGGGCAAAAAAATATTGCACAGGGAAACCTGTGACAAATCTGATAATTCCAGGCCTATTCTCCTGAATCACCAGGAGACAACCTCTTCAGATTCACTGTCCTAAAGGAATGAAAATGAACATGACATCTTATCTCAAAGAATAAAACCACGTACTCTGGCCAATGAGCTATCTAACTGAAACAATAAGTAACTTACCTTCCTGATCTTTCCAGTAGTGAAATTCCATACTTCAATGAAGCCATCCACAGAGCCAGTGACCAAATACTGGCCATCTGGGGAAAACCGGGCACACTCCACATGTGACTTCTGCCCAAACTGTTTCATAGAAGAATACAAATTAAAGTTTAACAAAACCACAGTTTAAATTCTGCAAGTTGCTTATTCTAGTGATAAAACCAGTATTTTCTAGGTTTCCTCAGTGAAATTTTGAGAGACAGCAGATGCTTGATATTCTGCCTTTTTCA